TTTCTGCACAATTTGGCTAAAAACTTTTGCGCTAAAGTCGCTATTTTTACCCTACTTCAACCCGCTGTTAAATTGTCCGCTGCTATTTCTACACCCTCGCTGTTGCTTTAGCAGATTATTTCTGCGAATTTAACGGCCTTCAAAACATTAGACCAACACCTGCCCGAATGTAAACTTAATATCCAAACGAATGTCAAAATAACGTGTGGACTGTAAAATTAAAAGCCAATGACAGTCATTCCAAGAGCTTCAGGAACTGTTGATGTAATGAACCGCACCTGACGTTAACTCAACAGTCGTGCGATGATGGAATAACATACAGAATGTTATTTCAAAAGCATCAATAAGATGTTGAGCTAACAGATTTGCATACTTTTGTTTCAACATACTTAAAATGTTCAATTAGCAGTCACGACAAGTAAAAGAACAGAGAAACGTCAAACAAATTTAACATTCAATGTGACTGTTAAAATGACAGTTCTTTTTTTTCCGTGTAGGAAGTTTTCCCTGATATCTCAAAATACCTAGAATGGAGTTAGGTATCTTTTGACTCTGGGGTACTGATGTACCTAGCAAATAAAGCAGACTTACTAAAACAGTCGAGATCAATGTTAAAGGATTTCAGAGTGAGCATGAAGTCCTTCCGAAAACACTGTCTCTTCGCAAAGTTAATAATTGATTCCCGCAGAAAATCCCATTTCTGGAATAACAAGTTTCCTTTTCCAGGGTGAACAATATCAAAATCGTGGTCAATCTGTAAGGAAACAATTAAGGGATTAAAATCCAAACTCATCAGAAATTGCCCTTGCTAAAACGACCGTCATCCACTTTAGACGCTTTTTCGTTTTAGATGCTACAGCTTTCATTAGCTGCTATTATTAGGACTGTTATTACTCATTTGTTTAATTTAGGAGGGGGCCACAAGGGCCGCTGCCCGTGGTGGCGAATTTTGCAATTTTTTTTAAATGTAGGTATAAAAAAAAAAAAAAAAATTACAAACGGGAAAAGGCGACAAAATCTTTCATTTCCTGTGAGTATAGTAATTTCTAATTTTGTCGTTTTGCGGTGATACCAAAGACAGCACATTTAAGTAGTTGAGTTATGAGAGAAACCAAACAAGCGAATCGGCCTGGAGCGGTGCGGCGCAGAGAGCAATGATGACCAGGGCCGGATTTACGTTTTTGGCGCCCTGTGCAGAAATTTTCGAGGCGCCCCCCTCGCACGTCCCCCCCCCCCCCCCCCNCCCCCCCGCCCGCGCATTTCCCAACCCGACGGTCTTATTTGGTTACTACGTGCTAACTCTAACTAAATACGAATTTTTCAAGTGAGTGAATGCTTCTGGGGCAAAAACCGAAACCAGGTATCTGTTCCTGTTACTGTTAACTACGAAACTAAGAGAAATTTTGACCCTTAAAGTCTAGGGTCAGGTCATTTAAAAGATGGAACGCAATAAATTAATGGATCTCTGATGTAACTTCGCAGAAGAAAATTCTGGTGGGACAAAAATAGGCATTTCATATGCATGCACAGGCACATATGGAGTAATAACATGCAATATTTTCATTGTTAATGTTGTTTAGTTAATAACTTACGAGATAGTCAGATAGTGTGTCTCCATTGCCTTTATACAATCAATCAACAATCAGAGTTTCTGAACTTTCGACGCAATTCTCAATTTTTTGCAGAGTTTGGAAAAAAAACCCAAAATTTGGCCCCCTGTGCAGCTGCACCAATGCACCATAGGTAAATCCGGCTCTGATTGATGACGAGGACTTGAGATGAAAAGAAGAAGCCCTCGGCGCGACGGTCGGCATGTAACACATATTAGCGCCTACAAGACTGCATGAATACTTCACGCATAACGTCAAACACAGTGCGTTCAGCAGCGGTCGGCGTGAAAGGCATAGCGCCTACGAGACTGAAGGAATACTTCACGCATTGCGCCAAACATAGTGCGATCAGCGCTGCGCGGCGATGGAAGTTAAAATTATTGAGCCACATTTAAGATTGTTCTTTCATAATTTTTTCGTTCATTTCTTGTTAATGGAAGGCCTTGTCCACACAGAGATAGGTTTACGGAAATTAACTTTCGCGCCAAGTTCTGTGAATTTTTGCCAGTAGTGTTGACAGGGCTTCCGCAAAAAATGTGTCCAACACGAGTAAACGCGTCTTATGCATCCCTCTCCCTCCGGTACGTTTACATGGTGGTTTTCATTGATGTTTCAAAACTAATGAGAAGGGAGCGACAAAATACAGGCGGCCCATGGGCGGCAAGTAAGTAAACCCGTCCCTGGTAGTACATCTTATACAAAACTTTATATTCGTTTTTCTCAAAACGCGGTTCCCAGCCATTTAGGCCCTTATTCGTGCGGTGTCCTACTGGCTTATAGGATATGAAGTAGAGGGGGCAGTAAGACCCAGTCTGTTTAAAACTTTTTTAGATCCCTCCTTAAAGCAGGAGCAAAATTTTAGGAGTGAGTTTTGAAATTGAGTGCATGACAAAGTATAAAATAGCCCTACGCAGTGAAAGTATTCTGAAATTTTACTTACTAATATATATCCATTGGGTTGACTAAGTGAAGGGTAAAGGGCCAAATAGTTATAGATTTCCTTTCCGGGTGTTTTCTGAAATTTAGCTAATCGGTAACTGCAAGAAATTTGAATAAACTTGACGACCGTTTCCTGAGGCTCTGTATTACTTTGAAGCCATGCATCCGCCGTTTCAATCTCTGGATTTACAGCAAGTTCATTGTTGTCTGAAACAAATGAAGTGAGTTACGATTTCAGTAAATAAAAACCGGTATATTCTTGTTGATTGCCTCTGAATTTCGAACAACGGTAATCTTTCTTTTTTTTTCTTTCAAATTTTCATCAGCACAGTGGCATAGGCAGACATTTTTCATGGGAAGGGAGGTCGAAACGGTTAAAAATTTCTCAACAGGGGAGGAGGAAGGGATTCAAAGGTATGAAATTCTTGAGGATCAAAAAAATCATGATGGATTAGAGCGAAATTTTCCCAGTCAAGGGGGGAGAAGATCCTCTCACCCCTACAGATTACTTTTCTGCATCTGACTATAAATTTGACGAAACAATTTATTCATGGACATGATGATTTCTAATTATTTGGTAAGTCTATAATAACGTGAAGGTGGTCGGAACAACATGATAAAATTTCTTGAGTGTACCCTGAGGTTCAGAAAAAAACATGCTCATTTCATACATACCCTCAGAATTTGTGGACTCCTCATTTTTCTTAGAGAAGCATCTTCCCATGATTAGACCTTCAGCTCGGAAGTCAGTGCGTAACTTTTTATACTTGTCATAAAGCTTGCCTCGGGCATTGTGAGCTTTTCCACTGGCATCTCGAAAGTATGCAGTATAATAAGTGCTCTTTTCCTCTGTCGGAAAAATTTTACAGATAGCTGATGCAATTTCCTCGAATCTTTCAGGCTGAACTGACTTTGAAGGGTCCTTCTCCAATTCTTCTTCCATTATTTTTTTAACCAATTTGCTCCTTTTCGTCATGGAGAGACTTCCGGTCTTTTCGAACCACGACAGTATCAACTGTCCTTCTCGAGTCTCATTCAGGAGAGCAGTTACCCAATCAGTACGAGCAGGAGTTGAATTGTTAGAGGGTAGAACCAAGGGGGTGCCACCAGCATGAGTTAAATTGATAGATGAATGGGCAAAAGGACTGTCACCAACACTGGTTGAATTGTTAGAGGAATGGGCAAAAAGACTGTCACCGTTACGAGTGGAATTGTTAGAAGGATGGGCTAAAAGACTGTCACCGTTACGGTTGGAATTGTCAGAAGAATGGGCAAGAACGCTTTCCGATGATAAGGCAATTCTTTTAAAGCCGGACCCATTACTAGGAACAGAAGTGCGGTTTGAAGTCTGAAACTCCAAGTTGGAGTTTTTACCGTTGAGACTTGTTGAGGGAGCTGATATTTCAGGTTGAAGGTTGGGAGAAGTAGAAGAAGAATTTTTCAGTGAGATATTTTTAGAGTTTACATTTCCATTATTCGGTAAAATTTGGGTCATCTCAGATATTTTCGTGAATCTCGGAGTCTTTAAACCCAAAATAGACTCTATACTTCTGAAACTTGTTGAGAAAGCTGATGTTTCTGATTGAGGGTTGGGAGAAGTCAAACAAGAATCATCCTGTAGGCCATTTTCAGGGTTAATGTTTTCATTATTCTGTAAAATTTGGGGCGTCTCAGAAATTACTATGAATTGGGTCTTTGCGGGCTTGGATTTGGGCGTGGAGGTGGCGAAAGAAGAGCAAGGGAGAACAATTTTGCTTTTAGATTGGGATGCCACTTCAGTTGGGTGGGAGGTTGGAGGGTTCATTGGAGAAGAACTGTTGCAGACATCGAGAGACGATGGCAGACATGGCTTCGACTGATGAAGGTATAATCTTCTGGAGACATTGCTTTTAAGAGCAGCTTTTTCAGGCAACTGAAAATTAAAATAGGAAGGAATAAGGAACATGGATAAGGAAACTAAGTATGGGTAGGTACTACTGATTACCACTGGCATCAAAAATAGGTAATTACTAAATTTTACTCAATTTTTTGGTCACTGCACATTCATAAGTAAAAAAAGTAACATAAAATTGTTTCCACACTCCCTGATTTTGAATAATTTTGGTGGAATATTTACCCTCGACAGGAAACTTAAATGGATCACATTTAGCAGAAGAGAACCAACGCGATAACAGTGCTTTCAAAATTGAGCAACTTCTCCGTTGCTTTGAAAAATACTAGATGTGTTCCGAGATCAAATTTACACAATCCTTTTCTTTTAAAATGGAGAATTTTTTGGGAAAAAAACCAGTTGTTATTCTATGAATTTTCTAAGTTGAAAATGGAGACGCGCCATTTTTCCAACACTGTAATAGCATTGGTTCCCTTCTGCTATAGGTGCCATCCAAATACCTGAGAGTGAAAAATTGATTTTTTTTTTCCAGTCATTCTCAACTGAATTCAAAAGTTTTAAAATGGATTCAAGGTTGCCACCAAAGCCTCTTTTCATTCAAAATGATAAATGAATCAGCAAAGGCTATCTTTGGAGGAAGGGGGAGGGGGGGGGATCCTTCTCACTTAAACCTATATGAGCTTGGACATACAGTTAACAATGTGAGCTGAGTGACAAGGATTCCAATGAGTTTTAGAAACATCAATGAGGTAGCGAAGGAAATTCAAATGGTGAGATGAAATGACTCTTTAATGTGCCTGCATATTGTAAGAGTAAAAGCATGAAAAACTAAAATGATATTTTCCACACTCAAAGGCGATAGGTTCTGTAAGTACATAGACGTACTTAGTCCAAGAGCTAGGAAATATCAGGAGCTTGATCAAGAGCATAATTTTCATTGCGAGCGAATTTTGCAAAAGAATTCTAGAATATACCGCACAACTATTAACAGTTGAAAAGATAAACAGACGCTAAAGAGAAAAAAGGCTCCATACTTCCTTAAATGACACCTTTCATTGCATTGGAGGGAACCCAGCTCCAAAATAAAATAACCTACTTCATCACCAAAGTCAATTTATTGAAGCGCTTCAAAAGATTATTTAGCCTCCTCCACGTCCACCTCTTAAAACCCATTCCTTGCAATTTCCTGCTTAGGTATGTTTTTCATAATGTAAACAATGTAAGTAAAGGCTTCTTGCTTGCTCAGGGGGCAGTTCAACTAATTCATGAGATAGAGCTCTCTCATCGTACGTTGAGACAAATGTCAATTTCTGATAAGCCCCTAATGGACTGATTTAGCGACTTCGTCATTTGATATAATATCAAACTTATTGACTGTTCAGTAGTCCAAAAAAAACATCGCTTACCACCTTATCACACATGTAGGTGTTGAGTTGTTCAGTCTGCAAATAGTCCAGAACAGTTTACTTTGACAATGCGCCCCTTGTCGTAATCGCTCTATGGTAATGAAATGAATCAACATGTTTATTGCACTCAAAATATCTTGTGCTTAGCCATGAGTCATTAATTGATTCATGACTTGTTAATGATAAATTCGTAATTAATTACTTAGTGTCCACACCAAATGAGTATTCGTGCTATTAGATAACTGCGTTGGAGGATCTACCAGCTCGACTCTTGCATTTGCTTTCAATGCAAAACTGACGTCAAACGATCTCCTGACGCCATTTTAAAGTGCGTAAACTTGATTGGCTTCGACTCTACCACAATTTGCTTCCACAGACTTTAGAAATAAAGTTATGTTCCATTGATATGACTTGAGCCATTGCAAAACAGATTGTGTCAAATATTTGAGATTATCGCAAGAATGACGTAGCCGCTGAACCAGTCTAAGTATTTCTACCTAACGCTGACAGGTCTTCAAAGGTATAGATGGGACTGATAAGGTGCAAGTTGTAAAGAAAGTAACCAAACAGTATCTGATAGGTTCACTTAGGCAGTGTAACATAACTTACCCACTTGCTTTAGTTCCTCCCCAGGTGAGATGATGGAATAGCATTGCTTCAGCATAAGAGTCAGCATTCTTCATAAAAAGTGTGCTCCAAGGAGGGATAAGTAGGGTAAAAACAGGAATTTTAGCGCAGTAAATTATCCAACAGCGTTGCATGATTGTGCAGAAAAATATGAATTAAATTACAGCGTTGGATAGGGATTATTGTTCAATATGGCAACGCTGTAAAAAGAAAGTATTGCATGTTGCCCC